GGGCAGTGTCCACCTAAAACGAACTTAACCTTGAACAACATTAAAATCGAAAGATGGGTAAGCAACAAATTTACAACAATTGTTTATTTATGTACGATAGTGATAAAAGGTCTTCTCCCTCGAATAGAAACCTTTCCTAGTAACGATCTAATATCGCGGGTAATCGTACGATATGCATGATAATCTTATCTGTCATACATATATGTGGAAACATTACTCATTCATCGTTCAATCATCGCTTCACACTTCGTTCAAACGAATGTTAGAGTCATTTATGATTAAAGATGAGGAACGATCAAGATGCAAGTGATAGTTTACCGTTACGTAGACGGTTTAATAGTAATATTAGTATAGATAGATTTTCCGAAAAAAGTCTTCATATGCTTGATTATGAAGATCGATCTTGTAGTAAGTTCTTTATAATATAAACTTACGTATATGTTAGTATACATACTTTAGAAGTCAGTAATAATCTGTTTTATAACTTTTGAGACAATATCATTAATTTATATATACTAAATCATTAATAAATTATCTTTTTAACGTCTGTAGGGAGTATGTGCAATGATTGTATGGCCAGAGTACCATATGCAACTCTTATTGCAACAATAATGTGTTGCTTAGGAGTTGGTATATTCTGTGGTACAATGTATAGAGGTGTTACATTGGGCTCTTTAATGATGGATCAGGTAAGTTGTCACTATAATCCTATTATAATGTTCTTTTTATATACATTATACATTTAATGTGTTTGTTTATAATTATGTATTTAAGGTATTTCATTTAAGACTTGGATGGTTAGAGCCTGTTCAATTGACTTTTGCAACACTTGGTGCTAGTATGGCAGCTTTAGGTTTTATGATATTATGTGTTGGTTGTCTTGCAACTGGAGCTACAAGACATAAAGTATATAGAGCCTGGAGGTCCAGAGTTGGTGGACGTATCTCATGTGCTGTTGTATGTAACTTTAATGTTATTAGTTATAATATCACAGTACGAAGTAGCATAAATAGAATATTCTTTACATTTTTTAGTTCATGACAATTACTTATATATTACAATTAGGATGGCTCCTAATATTTGCATTTTTGGTTATAATTGCTTGGATTTTTACTATATTCTGGGGTTTATGCAGTAATCCTCGTGTCCAGTCTCTTGATCAATGCATTGATTTCACTCAATTTAGTAAGTACAATTTATTTGTGTTTTAAATGCATTAATTAATTAATTAATTACCATGGATAGATAAAATTTCATATATTATATTTCTTGAAGGTTTTATATTTCCAAATAATACAAGAGTAGAGGATATGAAAGTATGTGGACCACAAGAAGTGAAATTATTTTGTAAAGATTTTGTTGAAAAAGCAGAGATCATGTTTATTTTAGCAACAGTAGCTGCCATGTTGGTTGTATTAAGTCTCATACATTATTTAATGTGTTTATCTGCTAACTATGCACATATTAGAGATCATGAGAAGTTTCAAGAATTACAAGAACTTCAATACCTGCAAGATCCAGGAGATCCAGATTCTCCTCAACCCGGTATGGGAACTTTGAGCTCACACCATCGTGTCAAGGATAGATTCTAGGATACGGCCCGCGAGATCTTCGCGATGAACCCCCTATAACTTTAACATTCTTGTTTACGAAACATTGAAGACATCTACTCTACAAGAATTAATAATGAATTTGATGTTATTCTTCTCTATGTACCTAAATTCAGTATTCTACTAATTGATTAATGTTGTAGTAGTTTACTGATCGAGGATCTTGCGGGAACATTTTATGCCGTCCATTTTCTGCGACTGTCTTGTAAGCATTTATTTTGTTTTAAAGGTATGAATTCGTTAAGTAATGTTTTAAGACAAATAAGATTCCATCTTTTATAATATTAATTCCTTCGATTATTTGTTGAACTTCTATGTATGCAGTGTAAGACATACGAGAACATTCCATATTTCGTACATATTTGTTGATAAAGTATAGTTTATTTTGAACGAAACTGTATATACGTGCGAGATACGAGTAATATAAGCGCACAGAGAGTATTCTTTCTAAACTATTTGCTATACAAAGATATGCTTATATATACTTATAATTCGTACTCACAAATTTCTACTATGCATTAATATATTGTTTCATATTACAAGTTTATTTAATATTATCTTTATATTATGTAAGACTATAAATGCAGACTGTATCTATTTGATGTCATTCTAACAGAGATTTTTTTTACATAAAAGGTGCAGCTTTTTTGTACCTCTTTAGGATAAAATAAGAAAATTACTGATATGATGTATTACTAGTGAAGTATTTTAATTATGTTTGAGGAAAGAGCCAAATAATTATATTTTAAATTTTCTACTTATATTTAGTAAATGATAAAAATACTTAAAATATCTATAATTTAATAATTATGATTTTTTCCAACATGCATAGTTCAGTTATATGTCACAGATCTATTGCTATTTTATAAAAGATCAAATTATACCGTAAAAAATGTTAAATGTTAAAAAGACAATATGAATATAATTCTAATTATACTTTATGCACAAATCTTAACTGTGCCAAATCTAATACGATTTAAATTATGAGAAATTATCACGTATATTGTACGTTATCGCTAAGAGACAGATTTTAAAAATGGATATATCTAAAATCTAGAATAGCAAGTATAACTTGCAATAATTTCGTACTTGCTCAAATTCTTTAATAGCAATTCAAAATACCAAATCAAATTGGATGTGCATACGTTGAAAAAAATTCTGTATATTACATATACGTAATAAGAACATATCAAACTGAGGATTGTACTTTATCTACACAAATTTGCAATAGAATAATCAAATAAGTAAAATTAATGCACAAATTACATATAATGAAAAATGTGTTTATTGTTTTCCTCGAGATACATTCTTATTTCTTGAAATACATTCTTATTTCTAAACAATTGTATATTTCTGTAAGATCGAATAAAAAAATACTTTCTACTCAAATTGTATGTTCAGTGTTTACAAATATTTCTGAAGTTTCTTTGAGAATGGTATAATGTCTTTATTATATGTACATTAATAGATAAATTTAATTCTTCAATATGTACAATTAATTACAATTTGTACAATAGTATAAATTAATGTCTATAGATTATTCATCATCAAACTGAAGATCCAATTCCAAATCAAGAGCACACACTTCTTGTAAGGTATTAATGAATGTATATCGCGAAAATATCATGTACAACTTTCGAAACCAAACATATTGTGACTTGTGTGCAGCCATAGCCTTCTGTAAAGGTAATTCCTATATGTTAGCAACTATGATCGACATGAGAGTTTTGCTAGAAATTATATATGTTAACTGCACACTTACTTTTATACTATTTTTTTGATCATATGTTATTAAATACCAATATGAAGCAGATAACAAACTAATTGGCAAATCTAAAAGTTGTACATACTTTCTAATTATATTCACAGATTCTAAAACATATAGTTTACAATCTGGAAAGAGATTCAATTATTTAAAGTGTTTTATATATCAATTTAATACACCAATAAATAATACTAACAATATGGTACTTTTTTTTCTATGCATAATGCAGCTATGGCATAGTATAAAGAAATGTGATTCTTATGTTTGCTTATTCCATGTTTATCAAATGTTACAACTGCATTGATTTTATAAATCTCTACATGTTGCAAAACACATTCTGCCACTACCTCTGTTGGCCATTGTACATTTTGATCATCAGGTAACTCTGTACTCCTATACATGTATTTATTGAACTAAGATAGAAGATTAAAAAGGTAATATTGAACTGTATTCAAATAATTACCAAGAAGTTATTTTGTAAATTAGATAGATGAAACAATTTCTTACATCACTATAGTTACATTATCTTCTGGAATTCCTAATAGTTTTGCACATTGCCATAATTCTTCTTTCCTCTTCTTATCCCCACCTAAAATGATATGTAGAGATTTTTTAACATCCAGAATATGAAAATTCATATGGGATTAATAAACGTACCATTGCTAAGACAGAGGAGGTAAATCTTACTAGCCTTTGATCTTGTAACCCAGTACATCAGTGGACCAAAAAACATGACCTCATCATCAGGATGAGCTGTAACTAACAGTATTCTGGCAGGTGGACCCGGAAGCTGCCACACTGTGTGGTTAACTCTCTTCAAGATTGAATAAAGAGAAATACAAACGCAAAAATACGCAGTAACAGCTATTAGCAACTGCCATGAAATTTCATTGATGTAAAACCACCACCAACAAATTATTTCATTAATTTGTATACTAAGATATTCTCTAATTAAATTGAGATCTATCATGTTGAATGGTGATATATGAACTATTTTCACTTACGAATATTACGGTCCTGTCATACTTCTGGAAGAGTAAACTATTTCGTTAGAATTAGAGACAACATTTCTTTTGTTTAAAGGACTTTGCAAGGTTATGTTATACGAGATAATAGGATTGAGCGCCATACTTGAGTACGTTAATACAAATTCACTATTGTAATGCTTGTATACTCTGCTCCTGAGACTATTATTATTTGTTAAATTATTTTCTTTTATAAATAAAAAATCTAGATATTCCTTAGTATTTATTCAAATTACTTTTACTAACATTCAATTATGTGATTAATGTGTAGGAATTTTGATATAATTATTTCAAGTTTTAGTTATTTTATATATCGTTAATTGTTGTCTTTCATAAAATTAGAAATTCACTCGACAATGAAGTCTATGGCAATATTGATTACGTTCTATAAGGAATCATGTAGTATTTGAAATAGAACATTACTAGAAGTTTAATTTTTAAATCGTCTTGTAATTTATAAATTTATTTCTTTTCTACAATTGTACGTACAAGTCAAATTATATTTGTTCATTAAACTTTGTCTTCACATTATTTTGAATCCTTTATCACGGGTAAATTGTTGATGTTACAACAGAGTTACCAAGAAGTAAAAGTCTCTAGATTTAAAATTTTGACTATAGATCTCTCGAATCTTTTTAGAAGACAATAATCTTTTATCATGTATTCTGTAATTGTATGAAAATAATTATTTACTTCAAGTAATTTCACAGAAGCGCGCCTAATTATTTGTAAGTTATGCAATTTATATTTTGGAAAAAATCGATACTACGCCAATGAGCGTCATTTATTATATCGAGTAACTTTACAGATGCATGAAACTAGGTTATATTTAGTATTCTGAAAATTTAATAAACAAAATTTCTACCATGGACATAAAAAAAGAAGTGGATCTATACCGTGATACACCTATCAGATATTTGGGTAATGAAAGACTATTGTAGTCGCTTTTTTAAACAGTTTCTTATTATTTTCATTCATTAACATTATGAATGACATTTTTGATTCCCTTTTCAGGATATGCAAACGAAATTGGAGAAGCTTTTAGATCTATAGTTCCAAATTCAATTGTATGGCTCAGTTACGCTGTAGCCAGTGGCTACGTTCTTGCAGACACAATTAACAATGGCTTTAAAGCTTATCAAGTAAGCAATTCATAAGAAAAATATTATTTAAACATACTATACATATTAATAAGACTACTATAAATATGAATTGTATGTTTCAGGATAATGTAACTCCAAAAGCAACAAAAAATACTGTACTTTCCATGACAGACACTTTATTGTGGCAGTCATTTGCATCTGTAGTTGTGCCTGGTTTGACGATTAACAGAGTTTGCGCTGCTGTTCAATTTGTACAAAAAAGAAGTAATAATGTGTTCTTAAAAAGCAAATGGATTCCAACCATTATTGGTTTAGCATCCATACCTTTCATAATACGTCCTATAGACAATATAGTAGAAGAAACAATGAATGTAACATACAGAAGGTGGATAGGATACTATCCAAAATGACCGTTAATTAATAATATATGATTATTCAGAGCTGTTCGAGAATAGATCTTAGATTTATTCGGTTTTCGAATGAAACGAAAACATTTTCGCTTGTACAATACTCTAGCGTAAAAATGCTAATATAATATTATTGAAAGTTATCTATTTTATTATACTATACACGTTGAATTTTGTATTGCATTGCTCAATATCTTGGAACATGTATTCGAAAACAAATCCGAATGCTTTGTTAAAAACAAACAAATAAAATTCGTTATTGTTATTTTTGTTTTTCTCTCATTTCATTTTTGTGTATGCCAATTTGATCAAAGATGGTTTTTTTCTACTAATATCTACAACAAGAACAACAAACGAGCATATAAATATTATAATTTTCTAATATTGCGCTGATACATCGAACTTTTTTATCAATCATATATTACTTACGTTACTTATGTCGGTATCTATCACTTCAAACTAGAGCGCGCGAAGTAGAATTGTCCAATATATAGTCAGACGCACTGAACATGCTTATCAAGCTCAAAATTCTAAATCGAACGCAACAAATAACACATATTATTACATTATATTGTTTATTTTGAAACAACTGTACCTTACATAATAGAGAATATGTTTCATAATAAAAAAATAACTCGTCGAAAAAAAGAACGACTATCTAAAAGATATTACATAAATGTTTCTTTTCCTTCTTCTATTACCCTCGTATCTTTTATATTTTTATTTGAAATATCAGTTCATAATTTTCTCTCGTTTGATCGCGAGACTTAAATAAACGATGGAGATTCGTTGAAAAATCAATAATAATTACCGTAGACGGAAAATCGTAACTCATAGGCCACGTTCATTTTCCCATTTATCGTCTTGTCGGGTCAAACGAGCTAGCCGCAGAACAATGGGTCGACATTGCATAGGAACGAATAGCCTGTCATACCTGTGACATATATTTTTTCGTCACAGGTACAATCACTACGTCAACCGACAAGAAAAACTAATCGTATTTCTTTGTTCGCGGAACTGACTTCGCGATTTTGCAAGACGAACTACGCGCCAAATACGGATAGAACATTTTGTTCTTACTACGAAACTAAGATTTCAAGTACGATACACATCGTCATGTGTACGAATCGGCAAGGGATTCATTTTTATTCCATTATCGTTAGACTGTGGTTTTTTTAAGTATTTATGGGGAATTTGAAGGTGCAAAATACGCAGATTGCGTATAATATACAAAAATATATAAAATATAGAAATATATGGTACTCGTTATAATATCAAGGAAACTAAACAATTGCCCATCTAAATTCCACTTTTTAATTATAGGAATTTGCATAAATATCTGCAGCCTAATTATCATATCTTTTATATGTTTTCCATTTGTTTTCCTTTTTCTGTGTACGGAACACGAGCGCATACGGTACTACAGTGAATTTCTCATTTTCGTAAAATTAACTATCCTTCCATTCGATCTACTAAAACGCCTTGTAGACGAGATACTTGGAGGTTAAGTAGAATCTGATTTGGGAAGAGGCATCAATTTCTCGCTAATTAATTCCCATACAGTTATTACGTATTATAGCATTTTATTGCCTCTTAAAAGTTGGCGCAATACGATTTACTGCTGGTCGAGTTGCGGATAAAACGTGCAAAAAAATCCAACGCCCGGGGATTCTCGCGATTATGAAATTCCGTATATATGTCTTCGTCGTAAGATTTACAGCACAATAATAACAGGATGCACAAAAACGGAAGCATTTTAATTCTGATGTTAAAGTACTATCGACGGTTGGTAATCGGACAAATTACACGATTAGGAGATAGTGCATTGTGCAAATTAATAAAAGTCGACGATAAAATAAAAAAGACGTGTTAACAACATTTTTTAAATCGTTAAAATCATCGAATTGTTGACAACTTTGGTCGCGTAATTATTTGCGACGAAACATTTCCTTTTAAACGAACAATTGTAAAACCGAATACAAAAACACGTGAATTAGTCAAAAGTCACAAGTTTATTTTTTGAAGATTTCTTAATTTCGGTATCAGAATACATGGCTAGTTTTTTTAAATCAATTTTTTTAGATGCCAAACAATTAACCTCGATAAAATACGTCAAATTGTCTCCTATGTAATTGGTATATACGTAGATTCAAATAATTGTTTCGTTCTAGCCGAATCAATTTCGAAGTTTCGATGTATCGTTTCGATCGAAAATTGTTTAGTAGATGGGTATGCAAGACTAAATAAGATAGAGGAAATTCGATTTTATGAGACTTTTTCGAAAGGATATAATTGTCCGCAGAAGGAGGATAAAATAGGACGGAGGACTATACTTACACAGGCGCTGGGTTACGAATTGACACATTCATGGGTCGGTCGATTTTTCACGGGACCCTATAATAATCTTGACAGCTTTTCAGTAGTCTATGGTCGACCCTCGTAATAAGGTTAACCAGTCCACCGTGATATAATTTATAGAGGCCACTTGTTTACGGCTAATTATGGCGGCACGCGGGCGACGAGTACGTTCTTTTTTCTCGTATGTCGTATGTCACGCGTTTCCGACAGCCGACAGTGTCTCAAGTTCGATGAAATTTAAGAACGCATCGATGTAAACGTACAACTGAGATCTGTTATCACGATCAGCGAACATATAGAGAAGCATAAACCGTGAAACCTAAATTCTTCGCACTGTTCTTCGTTATAACAAACGGGAGCGTCTATCAAACACGACGAAAATCACGAGTAGACTCTGTTCGAGTGGCAGCCGAACGCTATAAACAATGCTAATGGGCCAGCGAGCCTAACGTATTTCTCTGGTGCAAGATCGACGGAAGATAACTCGTAACCGAGAGAAAAGCAAAAGTCCACCGGTATCGATCCTTTAAAACCATCGAACAATAGCTCGAAGAGGTCCTTAATCGATAGAAAGCAACGCATTGCCTCGGTACACGCCTCCGTCACAAAACGAGCCTCGCGATAAGGTTATGTCTCGTGAGTCGAACAGAGGGCGCGTACACACATGCATACGGACAGGTATGTGTGCTATCGGCGCGAATAACGGAGCGAGGAGGAAAGAAGATCCGAGGAACGTCCGCGGGAAGGAAAGCGACGGTTTAACAGGAAAAATAAAAAAAGAAGGAAAGATGCCGTGGCCTGAGAGGAGGATCGGGTAAAGGCGAAGAAGCGAGAGAAGGAAGTAAAGGAGAAAGGAAGAAGGGTAAAGAGAGAGAAAAGTAGACTGGCGAGGGGGAGTAGGAGCGGGGGAGGGGGACAGAGGGATACGTATTTCGCGGGCTCGAGTGGTAAAGATTCTCTGAAACCTGTGGCATTTCGCGAGGTACTCTTCTCTTCGGTATACGCCGAAGGGGGATCGATAGCGCGTCAGAGACGAGGAGAATCAGGCGGCAGGCTATTTCGAGCAACAACACGGCGGCAGAAGCAGCAGAAGCAGTAGCAACGACAGAAGCGTCCCGTCCGCCGCCAGAGATCCGCAGCCA